AACGGATTTTGCCGCAGGGTTGTCAGTGACTACGTTAATACTACGTTAATACCGTGGGAGTGACCAACTGACTGTTGTGACGGTAATTTGGTCAGTAGTCACAGTATTTATGGTGGCTGAGGGCCTGGGCAGCTGGGTACAACTATTATTTCGTGCCTGTGGTATACTAACCAGGATCTAAGTGGACGTAGTGGGCTCTATAATGTATCTTAACGCCAATGCTAATCTTTTGCATGCAGAGCAGAGCCCATAACCCGCTTTCAACCAGTTTAGCAGGTTCATATTGGTGTAGTTGCGGCAAACGGGAAATGCCAACATCCTTGCCCGTGGCGTGCGAAACATCACGCTAAATTTAATACGGCGGAACATTCCGCATCTTCCCTTGCTATTTTGAGCTCCGTTGCCCTGCTAGCGAAAGGACTGTGACTACAGTGACCACGTGGTCATACCTAGTAGTTTCGGTAATAACTGAAGTCATTTCGGTCACAGTCACGAATAATGACTATGACGCGCCAACACTGTTTTGCCGGGCACATGAGGCGAGTGCACACTGACTTGATCATGAACTCCTCCCTAGTAAAAGGTCTTCCAGCACCTCTCGACTGGCAGGGAGGGCAGCATCTGGGTATCATGTTGAGGATGTGCGACATCGACATCGTACCCTTCACACACGTGATGACGGACTTGGGTAGTTACAGACGCTGGACTCTTTTCTCTTTCCTCAGTCGTTATGCAGACAGCACGGCTGAGGTAAGTTCAGTATATTATAAGTACAGTATGTAGCTGACATTTAGACTAGCTATAGGTCATCTAGGTACTGTACAAATATACTAAGTCGTTATGCAGACAGCACGGCTGAGCTATAGGTCATCTAGGTCATCTAGCTTTAACAGGTTATGAGCCGCTGCATCGCGCTCTGATTCTCATCCGAGTCGCGGAAGCTAATTTGTCCTAGTTCTTTGATCCGCAACTGCTGTATTGCATCCGAAGCGCCCACCAACGCGCGCATCTCATTCTTCGACGTGTTCTCTCTTTGACGCGCCCATCTGCTGCCCTCGCACTTTTCTGTGCTTTTCGCGTCTATAGCTCTCTGGTTTATCCGTCATGCCGCCCAAGTTCAATCCCGAGGTTGAGGACCCGACTTTGCAGGGTACTTCTCAGGTCCCTCAGATCCCGGCGTTTCCTCAGGTCACGGCAACGCCGCTGCCTCCCTCTATCACCGTGCTTCAGATTCCGGCCTCCCTTGTTGCGGCTACGGATCCTCCCATCCTCTCTTTTGAGAAGAATAACTGGCCTGACTGGTCTCACACCATTGACCGGACGCTTACTCTCTACAGCCTTGGCGGCTATCTCGACGGAACGACTGTTCGACCTGACTCTGTAACCGAGCCTGTCGCGGCGCGCAACTGGGACACCAACTCGCGCGCTGTCCGCGCTTTTCTCGAGCTTCGCATAGACAAGGAAGAACGGCGCTGGGTTGAGGATCAGCCGACGGCTGACAAGGTCTGGAAAGCTCTACAAGCACGTCACGAAAAGCAGGGTCCCTTCGCTCAGATTCTGCTCATCGAAGAGTTCTTCAAAACTCGCTACTCTAAGACTGAACGTTATGCCACGACCAGCCTGCGCCTTGCGGACCTCGTTAAGCGCATATATGCTATCGGATTACCCACCGCCGACGTTTTCCTCTCGATTGGGATGCTAAATGCTATGTCCGACGACCTCTCTCACGTTCGTGACACTGTCGCCTCCCATCTTGCTAACGCCACGACGGACCACCCCTACACGGCTTCTGACATCCGTCGCCGTCTTGACTATGAGCAACAGCTAACGGATCGAGACGTTGCCGCTGCCGGGGGCACCGCAGAGGTTCTCGCTACGCAATCGAAGTTCAAAGGCAAGCTGACTAGCAGTGGCAACATATGCTCTCACTGTAATGGCAAGGGTCATAAGGTCGATACTTGCTGGGCTCCCGGCGGACCTATGGAGGGTCGACGCGATGAGGTACTCGCGAACAAACGCCTTAAACGCGTTCAGGGTAAAGATACCACTTCCTCGACGCCCACCGCATCGTCTATGTCATCCCAGACTCGTTCTGCACCCTCGAATGGACCACGTGTAGACAACGCTGGTCGCGCCTATCTCCTTGATGGTATCACTGGGCAAGCTTACTATCTAGCCAGTGCTCCTACTGCTCCGGTCTCTTCTCAGGCACTCGCGGCCATCCATACTCAGGAAGACACTGTGCTCCACCTTGATGCTGTTCGTCCTGTCCCCGACTGGCTACAGTGCTATGTCGATTCTGACGCCGATCGTCTTGAATATGAAGCTTTTCTCTCTGTCGGAGGCCCGGACTCTACCACTGTGGACTGGCACGAGAGGAGGAGGAATGAAATTGCCCTAGCTGCAATGACTATCACACCCGTTAACACTCGTGGTCGCGTACCTGTCGTCGACTTGGAGACTTGCCCTTTCTTCGTTGATTCAGCCGCCACTACTCATATATCCCCGCACCAAAGCGACTTCTTCGATATTCGCCGTATTCCTCCTCACCCAATCGCGGGTGTGAATGGCTCGACGATCAATGCTATCGGTATCGGGAAGATTAAACTACACGTCGCTCGTGGCATCACCATCATCTTGGACGGCGTTCTGTATGTTCCGCATGCTACTGTACGCCTTATTTCGGTCCCCCGTATCACCAAGAGAACCGGCCTACTTGTTACCTTCTCTGACAATCATTGTTGGATGCATAAACGGAATGGCACTGTCGTCGCTGGTGGACCTATCACCTCTTGTGACCTCTATCGTCTCGAGCTCAAGGCTCCATCAACCGAACATATCTTCTTCACTAGTCGCGTTCCCGACATAGCGGTCTGGCATCGCCGCCTCGGGCATACCAACCCACGCTCCATCGTCAAGATGGCATGCAAAGGTCTGGCTGAAGGTATGCCTATTGACATCTCCCACGAACCGGCGAAATGTGAACATTGCATTCTCGGGAAACAGGCTAAAACATCAGTTCCAAAGACTCGAGAGGGAAAGAAGGCGGATAGAGTGCTAGGCATCGTATATGCGGATGTAATGGAAGAGGCTGTAGTCACGGCGACGGGGAACAAATTCGCATTAAATTTAATCGATGACCATTCATCTTTTGTGTGGTGTCTACCTATTCGATCTAAGGACGCGGCGTTTCCGGCACTCCAGGCTTGGGAACGTGCTCGTGAACTCGAGACTGGGCTGAAGGTCGGCGTCTATCGAACCGACAGCGGGGAACTCAAAAGTCATCAGATGGCAACTTGGCTTGCTTCGCGGGGTACTCAACATCAATTTACTGCCCCCCACGTTTCTGCTCACAATGGGCGTGGTGAACGAGTCCACCGTACGCTACGAGACAAAGCCCGTACTATGCGAATTGAAGCGAACTTACCAGACAATCGTTGGGACGAACTACTCTGTACGGCAGCCTACCTCACAGTCCGAACACCATCTCAATCCTTGGTTGGAAAGACTCCTTTCGAAGCGTACTATGGGCGCAAACCGAATCTGTCACATCTTCGCGAAATCGGTTGTCGCGCGTTCGTCCTCATCGAGAATAAATACAACCCAAAAATCAATCCTCGATCTCTCGAATGCGTACTAATCGGCTATAGCCCTAACTCAAAGGCTTATAGGTGCTACCACCGCCCGACGCATCGCATTATCGTTTCATATCATGTTCGGTTCATTGAATCTCATGAAGCCGTTCCTCGCCCGTTTCGACCAGGCGTGATCCTTAATGGCCCTGGCGATACACCTAAAAAACCCTTTTTGCCTGTTGACTCTGACAACGATTTCGCCCTTCCTGACACCACTACATCCTTTACTCCATCTGGTGTTTCAACTGTCTCGGACTTGCTCGACGTACCCTCCATTGGTGACCCTCCTACAGTCGAACTCCGACGTTCAACTCGTGTCCCCATACCAACCGAAAAACGAGCTATGAATGAAGGCCTGGACCGTGTATCAGCTGTTCAACAAGCGGTCACTGACTCTGTCGCCGCCGGAGAGCGAATACGACAAAGCCGTGCTGAACGGCGAGCTAATCCACCTACAACACTAGATGAAGCGCTTGCTCTACTCCATGAATCGTACGCTGCTCTTAAGGACGGTCACATCGATGTCGAGTACCCTGACGATCCCAAGAACTACAAGGAGGCCATGTCTCTGCCTGACGCCTGTCAATGGCACAAGGCTCTACTGGACGAATTCGAGTCTCTTAAGGAAATGGGTGTCTATAAACTTGTACCTCGATCGTCTGTTCCTGAAGGTCGCAAACTCATGCGTGGTCGTCCGGTGTTTCGCCTAAAACGCGACGAACATGGTGCGCCCGCTCGCTATAAGGCTCGTTATGTTTGCAAAGGCTACGAGGCAATCTTCGGGCTCGACTACGACAAGACAACATCCCCCACTATGCGTATGGAGTCTTTTCGAGTGCTGTTACACCTCGCTGCCGCTCTCGACTGGGACGCTCAACAGATCGATATCAAGACAGCCTTCTTGTATGGGTTACTGCCAGCTGACGAGACATGTTACATGGAACAGCCGGAAGGTTTCGAGGAGCCTGGACAGGAAGATTGGGTTTGGGAGCTGCAAAAGGGTCTATATGGCATGAAGCAGGCTGGACGGATCTGGAACCGCACTATGCACGCTAGAATGGTCGAACTGGGATTTACTCGTCTATCGTGCGAACACTGCATCTACTATCGAAAGGACGAATACGGTATTGTTATCGCTGGCGTACATGTCGATGATTTCCTATCGATCGCTAGTCAAGTTGCTGCAAATAACCATTTCAAGGATCAATTACGCGAGAAATGGCAAATTTCTGACCAAGGGGAGGTACGGTTCTGTCTTGGCATTGCTGTTGAACGCGACCGAAGCGCTCGAACTGTGGCCCTCTCACAAATTGCACTCATTGACCGTATCATCACCCAATTCAATATGACTGATGCTTTCCCCGTCGCAACGCCTATGGAATCCGGTCTGCGGCTCTCTCGTAAAGAACACTCGCCCCAGACCGAGGAGGAGCATCTTATTGCAGCGTCGCTACCCTATCGATCCCTCATAGGCTCACTCATGTATCTGGCTGTCGGCTCCCGTCCTGATATCGCCTTCGCTATCCAATATCTCAGTCAATTCCTGGACTGTTATGGCACAGCACACTGGGAAGCCGCAAAGCGGGTTGTACGCTATCTTAAAGGGACTCGAGATCTTAAGCTTCACCTCGGAGGTTCTAAGGTTGACGCGTTACTAGGCTATACCGATTCTGGTTTCGCTATGTGCCCGGACACTCGTCGGTCTGTAGGCGGATACTGTTTCTCACTCGGATCTGGCGTCGTCACCTGGTGCTCGCGAAAACAGAAGACCGTTACCACCTCGTCTTGTGAAGCAGAGTACATTGCAGCTTCCGAGTCTACAAAAGAATTAGTCTGGCTCCGAGCGCTACTGGAAGGGTTGCATCATCGACAGACAAATCCGACTCCTCTGCTATGCGACAACAACGGAGCGATCACCTTATCAGGTGACCCCTCTTTCCACAGCCGTACCAAACATATCGATATTAAGTATCATTATATTCGTGAATGCAACGAGAACGGTTTACTGAACGTCAACTACGTCAATACCAATGACAACCTTGCCGACATATTCACCAAGCCCTTAACTACTGGACCTTTCTGCTACCTTCGCGACCTGCTTGGGCTACGCTGATGAGGTCCGGAACCAGGAGGAGCATCAAACGTTTCCATTCGAGGAGGAGTGATCTGGATGTTGGTCGGGGTAATGTCTTCGTCGAGGAGGAGTGTTGAGGATGTGCGACATCGACATCGTACCCTTCACACACGTGATGACGGACTTGGGTAGTTACAGACGCTGGACTCTTTTCTCTTTCCTCAGTCGTTATGCAGACAGCACGGCTGAGGTAAGTTCAGTATATTATAAGTACAGTATGTAGCTGACATTTAGACTAGCTATAGGTCATCTAGGTACTGTACAAATATACTAAGTCGTTATGCAGACAGCACGGCTGAGCTATAGGTCATCTAGGTCATCTAGCTTTAACATATCATCCATCTTAGCGGCTGACTCCAGTCAATTCTGATATTCATTGACGACTTGCCGACAAGTCGTCAATGAATACCAGAATAATCGGATCGTTGCAGGCTCGCAGTTCTGCGATACGCACACGTAACAGGTTCGTGCTGGGCTCGGTCATGGTATCCAGATCTGCTGTCTAAGTTGACTTCATGGACTGATTTTGATGAGCGTCGTGAGTCGTTTAAGTTACTTGCAGTGTACTTTACTCATACGTCCCAGGTACTTTATTGCTAATCACCCACCTGGCATTCCCAGTTTTCAGATTGAGAACGCGTGATCTGGTCATCACGAGCACACGCCTGACTGAAAGATCCGTCGGCGGATGGGTAAAACTGCGGATGGTCATGACGGGTGCGTTTATGAGGCGACCCTTCGACAGGTATACATTTGGATCTCGAGATACGTCGAATCGGGATCGAATATAACCAACATCCGACAGGGCATCCAGTTCAAGGCAACTGTGTATTAGCAGTTCTGATTCTTTCAGCCGTATCTTACCACCGGAGGCGATTGGGCGACGTTCCACATTAAGAGAATCGCGCGTTCCAAGTAGTTACGTGCTCTTCTGCTGGTAGCTGCTCCCCCCTGGACCAGATCCTCGCATCGGCGGCACTTGTCGCGTGAGTCCCCATGCCCCACTAGACTGCTACGCATGGCCGTAACAAGTGTCCTACACAGCAATTATTGACAAGCTTTCAATGATGTTGGGTAGAATGTTTCGATTATCCTCCCCTCTAGCTCACGTTGGCCGTGATGATTACGGATGCCCTGACGGAGATATGAGGTGTTCGCACGTGCCGGCGATGTGTCCTGCTCAACTTGAACTTTGTTGTTGTGGGTATTCATTCTTTCATCAGGATGCTTCGGAGACTATTGACAGCGTAGAACAATGGCGGAATCGGGTCGAATATACTCATACAGGCGTGGTACAATGTACTTATTTGCTAGATCGTCCCTCTGCTATTCACACACGTGATACCTTGTGTATAGGCCGGGGACGTACGTGTCACGTTGGAGGAGTCCATCACTGATTTCCATTCCGTATGGCCTTCCATCCACACCAGCTGTCATTGGCCGCGGAACTTGAACTGCGTTCTACATTGATACCGCAGCACCAGCCTGCAGGATATTCTCTTCCCCAGCGTCACGGCGTGGCCATGACAAAACTTCGATAGAAACGGTCCAGAGCATCCACAGCTTCACTTTCGCGTACGTACCGCTCACTTTCCGGATAATGCACTATATTGATAAGGTATCACCTATCGATTGATAGGAGAGTGGTGGAGCTAGAGGTCAACTCGCTTCTCTTAATGCTTATCTTTGACCATACCCATTTGTACAAGGCGCACTGCGAGTCTTCAGTGGCTCGCGAGGCCTTTACGCTGGTGAAGGAGCAGTCGCACTTGGTATCAAAGGTGGTCTAGGCTTATGTCGCACATATGCATAGATACAGGACCTCTGATATGGCGCTCTAATACGCCCTCACGCTTCTACGTCGCATTGTTTTGAGCTACCACGCCACGATGCCGCACTTACCAATCCTAGCCACTGACATCCCACGAAGAACCTTATAGATACCGAGCTTTCCCCCCTCAAGATAGGAGACTTGCACTAGGGTCCGGTATGAGCGCCTGGGGTATTGACTTCCATTGACAAGATTCAGATAACCACAGGACCCTTTGGAGACCAATTGTCATCCTCTCGCAGGATGCTGGAGATTCTAGCACGTAACACGAAACTGCTGAGGAGGCCAGGGGTTATTCTCTTCCCGGTCTCGGTCCGATAGGCAAGAGACTCGAGGATTTAAGCAGCGACAAGGGACGGAGGGGCATTACAAGGAGCAACCTAATCATTCTCACCTGCGTCTATCTGTCCTGATATGCCCGGTCTGACTCTCCCCCCGACGCCTCATTGGGTCCCCGCCCCTCCTACCAAGGAAGAGTGTATGTCCACAGTATTCCGTCCAGTTCGTCCGCGTCACTCACCTCATCCCTCCAGTGGAATATGCGGATCTTGCGGTTATTGATCTCTCGAAGGCCGATACCCCAGAGGGTCGCAAGGAGCTAGCAGTACAGGCTCGCGACGCCATTAGCAAGCAGGGGTTCTTCTACGCGATCAACCACGGCTGGACCCAGGCCCAGGTACGATATCCTTTGAGCCGCGCTGAAGAATTTAACTGAACATCCGGTAAGACGGATCGCATTTTCGACATCGCGGATGTGCCTTTTGCTCAGGTCACTCCTGAAGAGAAACAAAGGTTCCTCGGAAATGGAGACGGTGGCGTGTACCAAGGATACAAGCTCCGTCAGTACTGGGTTAGTGTTTCCAATTGGTTGTTATTATGCGCTGTATTGATCGCTGCGGGTGATCAGCATCTTAACGGAGGTGTTCGGGATCAAGTTGAGCATTACGCTGGTACGTTTTGCTAACTCGGTCGCTTAGCTACAGCCGTATTTATCAACTCGTCGACTACAGCCAACTGCGACGTATTCGGCCGAGAGCACCCTGAGCCATTGAGGCCCTTCCTCCCGGAGATCGAGGCATTTGCCAAGCACAACCATTTCAACGTCCTCTTCCCTATCCTCAGGTGAGTAGGCGGTGTAATTCGATTGTGTGGAAGACCTAACCTAACGCCTCTAACATATAGAATATTGGCTGTTGGCCTGGATCTCCCTGAGGAGACGTTCGTGGAGAAGCATAGCTTTCAGGCTTCCGCAGAAACCTCCGGTAATGCATTCTTGCATCGACATGATTGTGTCTGACACATGTCCCTTCAAAGCGCGGTTCATGAAATAGTATGTTTCATATGTACTTCGGAGGGACGTGATGGGTGACACACGATCACAAGCTATCCTCGTACGGACGACGAGGAGTCCAAGACCCAAAACGTTTGGCTGAAGGGCCATACTGGTAAGTCCACGGGTCCGGAAATGGGACCGGAAATGGGACCAATATACCAATCTGCGGCTAGATTTTGGCAGCCTTACGATTCTCTGGAGCCAGCCTATCGCTGCCCTCCAAATCTTGTCGCCTGAAGGGAAATGGCAATGGATTCGGCATGTTCCCAACGCTTTGGTAGGCAATCAATGTCAACCGTTATACTCGCTTGAGCTGAATATTTATAGGTCATCAACGCTGGAGATGCTCTGGAGTTCTTGTCCGGAGGCTTCTACCGAGCCACTATTCACAGGGTCGTCCAACCCCCCCTTGATCAGCGTGGTTACACCCGCCTGGGGGCGTACTACTTCTGCCAGACCGACAGTAACGTCAAGCTGGCGTCCCTTGTCTCCGACCGTTCTATTCTCGACAAGGCTGGCGTCAAGCCGCGCTTCGACGACTCGGACGCGCCGACCATGGAGGCGTGGAGGAAAGGGAGGACCACTGCCTATGGCCGGACGGAGTTAAAACCAAGCGCGGAGAAGGGTGTCGAAGAAGAGGTCATCAATGGTATTATCGTGAAGCACTGGAATTGAACGCGGCTTTCAGGTGTTTGCTGAACATGAATTAGTGGTAACAATACACGTAGGTTGTCGTGTAGACATCATTGTGCTGAGGATGCGACTGTATCAATGGGTTTGGACTCACCTCGCGTTTGCAGACAATTGCCGTAAGCAGCCTTTGTCTTCGACAGACGTTGAGCGTGTACATGTATAACCAGCCAGTCGCATCCACTGACTCCTTCAGCCACACCATTCTAAATTTAGCCGCCTTCGGCTCAAAGTTGTTCATGTCGTCGTTCTGCTTCATCGACGACTCGCCTTCTACACCTCCCTATGGCCCCGAGCTTTCCGACATATAATTCGTGGAAGAATAATGACCGTGATAAGCCTCATTAGAGAACTGGGCATGCGCTCGGTGTCGCGAACATGTCTTCTCTGGTATAGCAGACTCGGCGGTGCCAAGTGGTACAACTGCAATGTTTACTATCTAGTCTGGTAGTTTCGGCTACTTACACTAGTACTTGCTTGTACCATGCGAATAACTCGACAAGTGCCCTCGCGGTTGGCGAACCAGCTGGCGAACCTCAGAATCTGACCACGTGTCGCACGGTATCTAATCACGGACATCTGTGGCGGTTCTATACCAGTGGCGGCGGACATGCTTGAATCCGCCTTCCACATACCATAGCCACGTCCAGCCATGGCGGCTCCCTTGCCCCATTCACCGCCAAATAAGGACGCACATGTCCTCGTCGTGGGTGCTGGTACCTTCGGTCTTTCGTCGGCCTTCCATTTAGCCAGTCGAGGTTATAGCAATGTAACATGCATCGACCGCTGGGAGGTACCGAGCAAGTCATCGGCTGGATGGGATATTTCCAAGGTAAAGTACCTGCTAGACCTGCGGAAGTTGATATGATCGCTCATATTGTGCGTTTCCGCAAAGATCGCCCGGACAGAATACGCCAGTCCGATATACACGCGCATCGCCCACGAGTCGCTCGATGCATGGCGAGAGTCAGAACCCTTTGCTTCGGCTAAGCTTTTCCATCAGACAGGATGGCTTCATATGAAGCCGGCCGATATGCCCCAGTCGCTCCTGGAGCGTTTCGAGCTCGGGCTAGAGAACACCAAGCGATACGGTGACGGTAGCCAGATCGAGTACTTGCCAGACGAAGAGGCCATCAAGTCGAAATGCCCGCTTATCAGCGGCGATCTGAAGGGATGGACGGGAATATTCAACGGCAAGTCTCAGGCATAGAACTCCTAACCGATGCTAACTCGATCTAGGTAATGCCGGCTGGGTTGAAGCAAAGCGCTCCATGGAAGTCCTCGGCGAACATTGCGCCCGCTTGGGCGTTAAATTCATCTCGGGATCTTCAGGGATCATGAAGAGTCTGATTCGTAGTCCGCAGACGAATGAGGTGATTGGCGTACTTGCTGAGGACGGGACGCAGCATTTTGCCGATATCGTCATTTTGTCCACGGGCGCGTGGAGTGAAAGTCTGCTTGACTTCGAAGGGCAGCTATTCAGTGGGGCGTACGATTTAGCACACATACAGCTGTCGAAAGAGGAGACAGAAAAGTATACCTCGCTGCCGGTGGTAAGTATCATATTATGTTCCTTACTCTTCTGATCATCGCCGGAGTAGTTACATGCACCAAACAAGGGGTATTGTTTCCCGCCTACCCCGGACGGCATATTCAAAATCGCTAGCCTGGGGTACACCCAGACTAACTACACTACCATCGACGATCGTGTCGTCTCCATTCCTCGAGACCGGTCCCTCAATCCCACAGACACCTTGTCCGAGGAAGGAATCGCTCAGTGCCGTAAGATCGCACAGGCATGCTTACCCGAATTGGGAGATCGTCCGCTGGTGTATGCAGCCATGTGCTGGGATACGGAGTCCTTCGACTTCAACTGGATCTTGGGACCGCAGTAAGATGTTCAATCACTGCACTATACATAAATCTTACTCAGGCACCCTACGTAGTCCTTCATCTCCGTCTTCGTTATTTATAGCCACCGCGGGCTCGGGCCATTCATTCAAGAATCTCCCAGGTAACTGTAGTTCCTCCTTCCCTCGATCAAACGTCTGGGGTCTGACGTTCCTGCAGTTATCGGGAAGTATGTCTGCGACTGCCTTGAGGGTAAGCTTCCTGAGCAGCTTCGTGAAGCGTGGAGATGGCGGCCAGACAAAGCTTCCGGCGCACCTCGCCTGACGAGAGTAGACATCAAAGACCTGCACGGGTGGAGACATGACGGTAAACCAGAAAAAATGGGGTGAAGAGGTAGAGAGGAGATGGTCGCATTGCTACGTCATTCACTTTCTCCCGATGTCTTCTAGCGCCTCAGTGTATTCCTGACTTATTGCCTCGTCTGCCGTTGCGTCTCATAATTCCTCTTCAAGCGCACGCGGCTTTGTCGCTTATTTCCTCTGACTAGATATTTAGCGACATTGCTCTGCAGTAATGAAGGACCCTCAAAGACACTCGAAATCACAGTACGGCTTGCCTGACAAGCATACGCCCAGGCCTGTGCCTCGCGATTCCACCTACTTAGACTAGCTGGGAATCCTGCTTTATCTGTGTCGTACCCTTCTCTCCATCATACAACGCCCGTGACAAGGGTACTGGCAGAAGCACCCCGAACCAGAAACAATATATTCATGCCATGACTTCTGCCTTGAAGAAGCCCATCTCTGGAAGCCACTTCAGGCCCCTCCCCCGGCTCGCTCATGTTTTCGCTTGGTGCAACTGAATCGCGATGCCAGCCGCGTGCTTCTTGGTTCAGGCACTCATATCTTGCCGAGGGGTGCCGACGAGTGTGCTATGCATAGTCATACGTTGGCTGTAAGGGTAAAAGACGGGATGTGATGTATCACCCTGCTGACTTGCTGACGGAGGGCGCAAAATAACGTCTGAATTGACCTGATATTGATCCTCGCAGCCCTTCATACGGCGACTATGGTGCCTCTCAAAGCGTGTGAAGGTCCCGCTGTGTTCCCGTTCTCAAGCGACTTTTCTAGGAAGATCGTCACTACCCACAAACGTAGATGGAGGTAGCTTATTCAAAAGTATGTCATTACTTGTTATAAAATACCTTGACCGGCTGAGCTCATGTTAGCTTCGACCCCTGAATCGCACCTTCGCACCACCTTTCATTGTCTATCACTCAGGATGCCCACTCGCACGGACGCATATGTACCGCCCTATCCTACGCCTCCCCAAGCGACAGAAAATTGTGCGCTTTCCCTTTGAGCTCCGCTCCACACAGGATTGCCGTTCGCTGACGGGGGGGTATTTCGATGGCAGTGAATTATGTTGACCTTCCAGTGCTTGATCTCGCTAAAGCAAAGACGCCAGAAGGCTGGGCACAGCTTGTGGTCACAGCCAAAGATGCAATGACGACTCGTGGCTTCTTGACAGTCATCAATCATGGTTATAGTACGGAGCAGGTAAACACTGCTGTCCTAGAATATCTGTGCGATATCTGAGTGCTGTACCTTAGACCAAGCGCATGTTTGATATCGCGAACGTTCCTTTCGATGAAGTCAGCCAGGAAGAAAAGGAACGATATGTTGGTAATATCAAATTAAATGGAGCGTATCAAGGGTACAAACTACCGCAATACTGGACCATCGCTGGCGGCGTACAAGATCGCATAGAGATGTACAATAGTGAGCGGGTATACGCAGGGAATGGATAAATTGGGAAGGCTAACCAATTCTGCTTTAGTCAATCACGATGTCAATAAACGCACGCATCCTCAGATCCTGCGTCAATATCTGCACGACATCGATGCTTTTGCAAAGCATTGTCATTATAATGTCATTCATCCTGTTCTTAGGTGGGAGACGTCCTGTGCCAGAGTTGCCTTTACTGAACGGCGCATGGCGGCAGGCTACTTGCTGTGGGGCTGGAGCTCCCTGAGGAGACATTGGTAGCTACGCATAACTTCGATGCTCCTGGAGAGGGCTGCGGTAAGTAGGGGAGAGCGTCAGTGGCGTTGGTCAGGGACCCGTATACTGAACCGACTCAATCAGTGCGATTCCAGAAATAGTGCGCTTCACTGTTTACGATTATTTCCCTATGTCCGCTCACACGCAGGACTCGGGTAGCTTCCCGCGCTCCCAAGCGGAAGAAGCTAAGACGGAGAACGTCTGGTTGAAGGGCCATACGGGTGAGGAATGTTCCCTTCTCTGCACACCAGCATATGTGATTGGATACTTATTCACGTGTACATTCCAGATATCGGAAGTATCACGGTCCTATGGAGCCAACCTGTATGCGGTCTCCAGATCCGATCTCCAGAAGGCGAATGGCAATGGGCCAGATACATTGAGAACGGCCTCGTACGTCCTTGCACTCCCCGTAGTCAGCGGCTGGTCGTACTGATCACCGCGGTGGTTAACTGCAGATAATCAATGTCGGGGATATGCTGGAGTTCCTTTCAGGAGGCTTCTACAAAGCCACCATCCACCGAGTCGTGCAGCCTCCCCCTTCACAGCAGGGTCATGCTCGTCTTGGCCTGTTCTTCTTCGGCATGCCTGACGACAACGTAGTCCTGAAGCCACTCAATGAAAGCCCCGTGCTTCAACGGGTAGGGATCCGCAAGCGATTCGAAGAAGACCAAGCTCCCACAACTGAAGCGTGGAGGAAGGTGAGAACGAGTAATTACGGAGTAAGCGAGGTAAAGAAGGAAGGTGCAGTGGATGTCCAGATTCTTAACGGCATAGTGGTCGCACATTACAACTGAGCGTCGGAAGCGCACGTTCGCATTTTATGTCTTAGACATGCCGGCTTACCTCTAGATCTTGCTGTCCGTAGTGTGATTTCTCCTCATTCTACCACCCGTATTCACTCGCTGTGAATGAAACGAAGAGGGCCGGAATCACTACGAGTCGCCCCTGCAGCGTCAGCCTGGCTCAGCCACTGACTTGACAACTTCGACAAATTTCATTCATGCTATCTCTTATGCCGAGTCTTGCCTTATCTGCTTTTCTTCTTCGCGGCAGTACATTATCCGAAGTTCGGAGTCCCAAGCTTGAGGCGCTATTTGAGCCTCTCGGACGGGGTTTCGAAGACGGTGAGCACTGAAGGAGGATCTCTGGATTCTTCAGGAGTACGGTCCGGCTCACCCGTGGGTGCGCTGGTTCCTACTGAATTCCGACGCCTATTTTTGCCGCTGGCTTGGGGAACTTTTGGACTCCCGAGGAGGTACAGAGAGTACTACTAGTGCTATGCATAACTAGTGTATGTTGACTGGAGTGATAACGGACGGCCTGACATACCGTCCTGCTGACTTGGAGCCCTTCTGACCCTTTCAACTATCTTCTACACTTGAGATCTGGAAGATGCGGTAGTCCTCTTGCCTATCTATCGCCATTCCACTGGTGTCGGAAGGTACATCACGGGATGCTTTGGAAACGATAGTCGAAAGCTGGGTATTCTAATCCGAACGGATAAAGGCACTTACTGGACCGCTGAGGTGATCATTCCTCAACCTTCATCCCGTATCGTTCACATTCCTGTCTGGCTCAGAATGCCCACACGCACAGAACCATATGTACCACCCTATCATACGCCTCCTGCGGCCACAGAAAACCGTACGGCCCCTACGAGCTTTGGAAAGGGTGGCTCACAGATGACACTCTGACAGTGAATTATGTCGACCTTCCCGTACTTGACCTGGCTAAGGGAAACACACCCGAGGGCTGGGCCGAGCTGGCGGTGACAGTCAAAGACGCAATGACCACCCGTGGCTTCTTAACAGTTACAAACCATGGATGGACCGCGGAGCAGGTAAGCATTCATCTGTGTTGATACACGTCACGTGTTTGTCATTCCCCGCATCCTCAGACCAAGCGCATGTTCGATATTGCGAACGTCCCCTTCGATCAAGTTATCCAAGAAGAAAAGGAGCGATACGTCGGAAATATCAAATCGAGCGGATCGTACCAAGGTTACAAGTTGCCCCAGTACTACCACATTGACGGCGGCGTACTGGATCGCATAGAACAGTACCACAGTCAGCTTGGTTCCCTAGCAAAAAGATATAACATTTTAAGCTAACCTTGCACTTAACAGTCAATCGCGACGTCACGAAACGCCCACATCCTCAAGTCTTTCGTCAGTACCTGCCGGACGCGGATGCCTTTGCAAGGCATTGCCATTTCAACGTTATACATCCCGTCCTCAGGTGAGGAGGCACGCCTTGAAACTCCACTTCTGACACAGATGGGTCGGACAGGCTACTCGCTCTAGGGTTAGAGCTACCCGAAGACACCTTGGTAAACATGCACAACTTCGATGCTCCCGGGGAAAGTAGTGGTAAGTAATATATTGCCATTGAGGATGTTAGAGGTGTATTCTGATTCTGATCCGATGCATCAGTGAGATTCATGAAATAGTGAGCCCCATTTCCTTACCAAGGCGCTCTCATACCAGCTGCCTGATTTGTGAAACTCGCATAGCTTTCCGCGCTCGCAAGAGGAAGAAGTAAAAACGGCGAACGTCTGGTTGAAAGGTCATACAGGTCAGCAGCGTACCGTGTTGTCCATTCCACGGAATATAATTTAGAAAATTCTCCCGCTCTGCAAATTAGACATCGGAAGTATCACAGTTCTATGGAGCCAACCTGTGGGTGGTCTGCAGATCCGTTCTCCAGAAGGCGAGTGGCAGTGGGCCAGACATGTGGAAAACGGTCTTGTGCGTCTCCTACCTGCTAAGATTAATGATGGTCGGACTGACCTCTCCCGTCGCCTTAGATAATCAATGTCGGAGACATGTTGGAATTCCTCTCGGGAGGCTTTTACAAGGCGACCATCCACCGAGTCGTCCAACCTCTGCCTTCACAGCGTGGATATGCCCGCCTCGGTCTCTTCTTCTTCGGCATGCCTGACGATGACGTCGTCCTAAAGCCTCTCACCGAGAGCCCTGTGTTACAAAGGGTAGGTGTCCGGAGACGATTCGAAGAAGACCAAGCTCCCACTGCCGAGGAATGGCGGAAGGCGAGGACTGCCGCTTACGGAGTCAGCGAGGTAAAGAAGGAAGGGGAAGTGGAGGTACAGACCCTGAATGGCATAGTAGTGACGCACTACAACTGATATTCTGTGGATGGAACACTGGAGGTATGATGAGCGGAACCGACAGGATTTACCGCCATACTATGTAGTTTTCTTGTAGTAAAACAGCTTGAAAAGGAGCGCTTTTTGAGTCTTTGCTTTTGCACTACAGCCCGGTGGCAACGCGAGCCGGCGGTCTTAGGTCAATCGTGAGTCTATTTCCAGGAGCAGGTCAGCCGGAGTGTATTCCACTGGCAGCGTTTACTACATCCGCCAGAACGACAAATAAGATATGAGTAAGTATAGGATCTGCACCGGTGGTCTCTGCCCCAGAAGTCAGTTCGGCGCATCGAACCAGGACCCCCGATAATCAGTACAAATGCCTGATCCCGAGGACCCATAAGTAGACCCATTTTGTCCGGAAGAAAATCGCCGATTCTGGACCTTTTGTCCGGAAAAAAACAGGCATCACAGCGAAAAAGTGGCTCTAAAAGGCAACTGTGGCGTGGGTACGTCTAAATTTAGCTTCCCCGGCAGGTGCTGGGGTAAATATGGCGTCGAAATGGCCAAGTCTGACCAAAATGTCCGGAAAAAAATCAGGCCCGTTCTCCAGAATTGGCCGATTTGTCTGTAAAAAATCAGCCATTGAGGGCTCTAAAGTCCCAAAATTTGTCCGGAACCTGATCAGGCATTTATACCAATTATCGGGGGTCCTATCGAACCCCCCATGGCCAGTGTTACCCTCACGTGCATCACTGTGACAGCGTGACACTGCCCGCGACGCGCGCTCGCCACACAGGGGTAGGAGGTCCGCCATCTTCTTGTCCTCCGCTGCGAGCTTCAAGATCTGACACAGGAAAGAACAAAGCGCGTTATATTTCAGCTTCCTCTCGGGCCTCCAGGCGTCAGGAAAGGTACTCACCCCGACGTAATTGTGAGTTGTTTGGGCCCGTGTGGCTCGGGCCATCCGGTTGACGCCGTTTATAAACCAGAATCAAAGGCCGGAGCTATATACCTCCGCTTTTCGGTTGCTGTCCGTATCCTCCCGCTATACCTACCGTTCCTCAAAACATCGATCCATTATTATACAATGGCCCAGGAATATCCAGAGGCTACGTTAGCACTTCCAGAATCCTACGACGCGGTGCAGATTGGGGAAAGGACCTTACAAGAACCAAGGGGCGTGGATGCGACCGAGAACATGGTAAGCATTTGAGATTATACTGTCCGTTCCCGCAGACCGATCCGTCCTACTTACTGGAATGGTTCAGCCCGCCGAAGATTGGAACAGGCTTGTTGGCTGGATCGCGTGGCCACAGCTCGAAATGTCACTAATTTCTCGTAGCTCGTCCTTAGAAGGTGCATTGGATGAAAGCAGAATTACGGTACGTACTCTCTACTGGGAGACCCTCTCACTGTCTGTCTGAATATTATACCTCATGGGCTCCTAGTGGACCAGAAACGATTGGTTGGTCAATTCTACCAATGGTATGATTTCATCCCCTACGCCAACCGACGAACTCACCTATAATTTTTTGATTCCTGATGATACGAGCTCGTGGATAAATTCTACGAATCGAAGCACGAGACTCACCAAAGCTTATCATGGAACATCAATGTCATATAGCCATGGGCCTTCAAATGCAAAGGAGCCTACTATACATTCAACCTATTCGACCACAGCAATGAAGGAGGCCTTGGATCAAGATCTGGTGGGCACCCACTCTATCCTTGATCGATGCGCCGCTGATGTCCTGCCCACCTCGCTGTGGGATCCAACAGCTTAAGGCTCACCTTCAGCAGAACGTCGCAGAGCGCAAGATGCAGGAGTTGGTAAACAGAGCGGCCCAGTGGAACGTAGACGGTGAACGCGACGAGGACCAGATGTGATAGCTAAAGCTAGCTCATCATGGCCAACGACCCGACCACCATCCACTGAGCTCTCCCCCTTTTCCTCGGATATCCATGCTTTGTCTGCATAGAAAACAGTTGTAGAACGACACGGTTCTCAGAAGAAACACGTTCAGATCTTGTCATGATACTTTAACATACCTCGCGATCGTTCACTGCCATGACACTAGCGAGTATTACTTGGCTGACGGCGCAAGAGCCGCCACCATGCTAGTCGGAGGCGGCGATCCTCGGGATCTCTCCAGCGTTCCCTGAGCAAAGACTTCTGAATTCACCACGTCCACCAGGCACCGTGACGAAGGTCGAACATCAGTTGCGAAGGACACAGAGCGAGCATCGCAGAGAGCAGCGGCGAGTACTCAGATGGGACAAAGAGAAAGCAGTCAACGTCGGCAATTTCCAAGTCACTTCGGATAATGCAAGATAATGCAAGCTTTGTGTAAAAGCGTCCATAACTCCTGATAAACAGGTATCTGACGAGATTCCGATTACCGACCAATTTCTCCCAAGAGATCCAGAGAAGTTATGGTTTTCAGACTGTACGTAGACATAAACAAATGCAGACTGCATGATTTAGTACATGTCTACCACAACCAGGTAAGATACATTATACACAACGATACAGACAAAAATGTACAACGCCAATCTCAGCAAGATCACAGTCCTTTCTTACCAATCCTCACTGTCCCGCGGAAAGGCAGGTCGGTCAGCTCCATCTCCTTGTCTTGTCCCGTACCATTGGAGAACGGCAGCCCATGCACGCGCACCCCGACAGCAGCCACGCCCTGCACGCCAGCCAAGGCTCCTCCCGGGCCCCAAATGACCTGTTCGTAACTATGAGACCAGGGAATAGCGGAAGTTGTTCACTGAAGAGCCCACCTTCGATACGAAATGACTAAATTCTTTCTCGCGCCCAGGGAGCACTTCCAGCGGCACGTCCTCGATCTGCGCAGTCACAGCAACAACCGAGCCCTCGTTCCCAGGCTCCTCCTCAACGCTCTCCGACACCAACCAGTCCTCGGGCTTGATGTGCGCAAACGCGCCCTCCGGCAACGGCACCGGCGGTGCATCCCCATAGTCCACATCCGGGACCTCGCCGTCGTACACCAGCACATCCGGCCAGACGCGGTTCACCTCGAGGCGCACGTCGATGCCCCTGGGCAGCACCGCGCGCGCGAACACCGTCCCGCTCGCGGATATCTGGTTGCCCCCCGGGCCCGACGGCTTGATCTTCATGTCGCGGATCGTCACGTCGCGCAGGATCTGCGGGCGCGGATGCGGCGCGGGGAAGAAGGTGTCGACGTCTAGCCCCGGGAATAGCGGCGTGGATAGTTGGATGGGGTTCCGTTCGCCGGAGAGGTAGCGCGAGAGGAAGGCGGAGAGGAGTGGCGAGACGGAGGAAGGCAAGCGGAGGACGGAGCCCGAGACAGCGAGCGTGATGTTCGGGTGGGTGAGCGTGAACGGCTCAGTGTGGACAAAGGCGACGGGGACGGACGTGCTCCGGTTGTGTTCCGTAGAGACGAGTGATATCGTAAACGGTAATTCAGGCGGGGACGCAAAGTGCACGTTTGACGGCACGGGGTTGACCGCCGTCGCCACTGCATTCAGGAGTAGACTCTCTTTGCCGGAGGACACGCCGAACGTCTTCAGCGTCACCAACTCCTCCAGGGCGGGTAAGTGCCGACCAGGTGGTGGCAGCCCAGGGAGCTCCGGTACTGGTACTGTTAGCGACGAGTGGCAAGAAAACGACAAGTCCACTCACTCCTCTTCCGCACATCGACGCGGACGTTGGGTCTGTCCATCCGGAACCGGCTGCGCCAGCTGTTGTCGTCCAGCCCGCCGCCGTGCACCTGAACTCGGTTCACAGCCGCGCGGACATTCACAAACCCTTCCCTCCAGCTATGTCGCGCAAAGTCGAGCAACGCGGACCCGTTCGACGTCGGCTGGATGAGGATGGGGATCGAGACGTTCGTGAGCCACGACAAGTCCCGTGTCGGCGGGCTGACCGTCAGCGGCACCTCGACCGGGGCTATCGTCATCGTCGCTAGCACCACCGGGTCGCGGTGCCCCAGCTGCGTCGTCATCTCAGCAGTCATGGAGTCGACCGTCACCTTCCGGAGCCTGCGTATCCCCCAGCGCCCGACCCCCTTCCTCACATAGTCGTAGAACCCGTCCCGCTCCTCGTCCGCCTGCGCATCGACGAGCGCCCCGGCGTCCAAGCCTACGCGCCCGTCCACGCGCACCCATATCCCCTCCCCCGCGGTGATGTTCAGCACGTCGACGCGGTCCGGGCCCTGCACGCGCAGCCCGCGGTGGATGACGTCCTCCGGCGTGAGGTTCTGCGCTCTCGCCCGGTACGACCAAGCCACCAGCGCCAGGAAGATCAGGACACAAAGCAAGAAGGAAACGCTAAAGACTGCGCAAAGCGTTGACCAGATCGTGCGCCGGCTGCGGTGGGCATTGTCGTCGTGCTCGCCGTCGATACGCCGCGACGAAGGCCCGCCCAGGAGCGGCGCGCGCTCGTCGACTTCTGGCAATATCGCCCGCTGCTTGCCCTTGTCGACCCGCTGCGGTGTGTCGTCGCCAGACATGTCGTTACTGTTGCATGAATATGAGCAGAGGAATGGGCGATAATCATGGTACAAAGGTCTCGATCGCCGTCTTCGTGGAAAGTGACGTACAAGGGTATGGATAACCAAATTTGGAATTAGCCCCTGTGGCCACCTCTCGAAGTTGTTCTTGGTGGCATAAGTGATCTGGTATCATTGCTTCATCATTAAGGGAATATGTTAAAAATATACGCACATAATGTTTTTTGATGAGCTTTTGAGGGGGTATCTTACCAGGAGAAGCCAAGTGGGACAGACACCGTAGTGACAGGGTTCGTGCTTGAACACATCCAGAGGCACTGAGTACCTTCGGTGCACTGAAATTAGAAAAATAAACAAGAGAGTGGATGGCTGTAGCATATAAGGCTATTTTGTGAACAGGTGGGAGACCACCGAGCTGCCTGACGCCTCCCCGGATGCGTCTTACTGTATCGAGTGGATAATTCAACTAGGACTTCGTGGGAGCGGAATAGTTGACTACCATATGAACCAACCTTACCTCGCAATTTGCATGGATTCAAGCCCATAAACGATTATTTTTGACTTCCATAGGGTATAGCGATATGGGATATATATGCGCTTTCGCGAGACACGCAGGCTTGCCTGATCTCTGATACTGGCCTAATAACTTCCAAACTAAAACGAACAACGTATTTAAAGGAAAGAAAATGTATATATACGCGATGAACGCTCACCTCTGGCGGGGGGGGGGGCGACTACATCAGAGGCGCTCGGCGTAGGAAAACGGGGAAATCGCGGAAACTTGGGAATTCGTGCGCTCCGGCCACCTTATATTACCTGAGGTACATCAGTTAAATAATCTGTAGTTCACTTCCCTTTATCGCCTAATTCGATTACCCTCATGCACCCAGGAGCGAAGTCCATATACGAGATTTGCTCTGGGTTGAAACTTCCCATTCCCTGCATAGAGTGTTAGGAAAATCGTTAAGAAACTGTTTTTTATTTGAGAGCCGGAAGCGTTGTGACACATGGAAAGGGAGCTCGAGGGCTTACGCGAGTAGTACAAGGTAGTACAGTGAAACACGCCTCGTACGCGTCCCTATATTGACGCGTCTATGGCACGTGATTCGGACGTCCGAATCTCACGTCTTTGGCCACACATTTGCCTTCCCATTATCCCTTCATCTTCAACATCCTCTACAAAATGAAATGTAGAAGTATCATATCCTCTGTTATCTCGTCCGAATCTAGGTGTATGCAAGGAAATCCCAAACCTCCATCGTATGATAACATATCAGAATATTGCATCCCGACCCTACGCCCCCCTCCCCATTTGCCACATCCTCCACATCCCCCATCCCCCCATAACCGGCCCCTCCTCGAACCGATCCACCTTATTCATGCGCTCCTTCTCCTTCTCCCTCTTCTCCTCCTCGGTCTCCTCCTCGGTCTCCTCCTTCCCCACTATTCCCGTTTCCGTTTCTCCTGTCCTCATAATCTTCCTCAATCTTACGAATCTCGCGCTTGATCGCGCGACTCGTTCGTGAGGTCGACCCAGCGTTCGATGAACCCGCACGCCTTGCACAGCGCGCCGAGCCGCCCAGCGATGCTCTCGTGCAGCAATTGGGAGTAGAACGCCTCCCACCTTTCAAAGGTCAAAGAAAATCCTCACAAACACGGCGGTGAGGCGCGCATTTCAATTCGAAGAGGCTGGAGAAGAGGTCCCAAATAATGATTGCACTTGTTTGACAATAGTGGGTCTATGGACGCAGTCTCAAGGGAGCACACCCACGCACTTCGTCCAGTCAGCCTGATAGCACTGCAACAAGAAACAGTAGAAAGCAGCGCCCTGGCATGGGGGTGAACAAGCAAGCATCTGAGACACGAATCGTGTCGCGCAATCACTTATCATTCCTCGTATTCTGATCAGAAGGATAGTATTCCCGTACCATAGTAAAGAGGCAATCACGCAATACTGGGAAACATAGCTACACAACGACTCGGCGGAACAGAGACACTCGAAACAGCGCATATACCTCAGCCTGAGAGGCGGCTACACAACCCCTCCGCAAACATCAACAACGACAGTTAACATCTCCCCATGAGTATTCACACTCTGTATCATCCTACTCGAGAACCGCAGGAAGACGGTCCTTGGGCCTGTAAATGGTGCTCTGCTTCTCCTTACCAGCCTGGCCGTCGGCACCAGTAGGACGAGCGCGTTTCGCTGATGAGCCCTCGTCGTCGTCCCGCTTGCGCTTGCTCCCGCTTTCGGATGTCTGGCTGGACTCGATCCCAGACACGAGGTTTGCTGCCGTGTTGGCGTGTACAGCCTTCTCCGGTGCTTGTATAAGGCGGAAGGGGGTAGCGCCATCGTTGGAAGGCCAGCGATCGCAGTCCAAAGCCTCGCGTATGACCTCCTTTATCGTCTCGTGGGTCGTGAGTTGAAAGAACATATCCGGAAATGTTGCATAAGCTTTTTTAATCCAATCTTTGTCTTGGTAGTGGCTCTTCACGAGCTCCGCAAGCCGACGAATACAGGAGGTCAACGGGACGTTCTCCCGTTGGTCTCGAGCGCCGCCTTCACTGTTTTCGTCAGGGCCGCACAGAATCTCCATCGTCTCCACATGCGTTCTGACCATGGTGGTTCTGAGGTCCGGGTGGCAAAGGGCGAAGATTTCACTGATAACCTGCTCCGACAAGGTGTGTGGCCTGTGGTGAATGTAGAGGTATGCAATAGTCCAGAAGTATGATTCGAGGTCGTTCCAAGTCTCGTGAGCGGGTAACTGAGGAGTCTTCCGAAGGCGAGCAATCGATAGGAATTGGATGGTACCCTGAAACGGAAAACCCGTTGGTATTGAGAATAAAATATAATGAACGACCCTCTTACCGTGATCTCACGTAGATCCGACTCGCTTCCGGGCTCCCCGACAACAGTGGCATACTCGACATCAATGAGGAAGCCTTTGCATTTCTCCACCTCGGGGTAAGCGCTGATCATGATATTATTCACGCTGATATCCCGATGGAGTATATCCTTCTTGCTCATCTGTTCGTGACCTATTGACCTGTCAGCTATATTGGAACAGTAGAACATACGAGGTCACCCACGTAAGAGCGAGTCATAGATCGCTTCCAACGCCTCGCGAGTGCATAAGAATCGACTGAGATGGATCCCGACGGAATTGAGGATGCAGCGATGATGGACGCGAGGAGGGCACTTGCGAGGTGCATTCTTATCCAGTATATGGGTGTTCAGTACGTGGGCGAGCGTCCGATGCATCTCGCTGTTCGGGTCGGGCGGTTCGACCAGATCCACATCGCTGCGCTTCCTTGCCACGCCGGGAACGTGATCCTTGCCGCCATGGATAATGTCGTATATATCGCCCTCGAGTCTGCGAGTAGGGTCCCGCCAAGAATCCTTGATGATTACGAAGTGGTCTTCATTGCTGCGCTCCGGATTTTCGACGGTCCCGGGGACAGGGAAGGCGAGCCAGGTGCACGTCCCGCGACCAAGGAGCGCTGTCGAGGTCACCAAAGGTGGGCCGACGGTGATGTACTGCTCGAGTTTCGCACCGTCCTTGGACGGAACTCTGATGGTACTGCTCTGCGCTCGCAGGGTGTCATCGTGTAGTTTCTCAGTTTCTTCAGAGAGTAGGCGTTTCGCCCTTGCCTTCTGGATCTTTTCCAGGAGGAGCGCGTCGTGATCGTGGACCTCGAAGTCTATCGTGGGGTCCACGCCACTACCATAGTAACCCTGGGCGCCGAAGCCAGCCAAGAATTGCCAGAGTGGTTCTGGATTCTCCTTGTATTCAAAGGCCTCGGATACCAATATCGAAGAGCGATCGAAGCGAAAGAATCGAGCGCGATTTCCAAAAACGCCAATGCCGCAGAGAAAGCAGCGAGGCCGGCGCCTGAACGAGACTGTGGCGTAGTACGAGATTTGATCCCACACTTTAAGCTGGTAATCATACACGACCTTTGCGGAGGAGCCGTCGGTGTAATAGAAAGGATCCTGCTTATCCTGAGGCTTGACCTCCACAAAGGCCAATGCGCATGGCCACGGGCATAGGCCCATGCCACTCTCCTTTATAATCAAGTCAGGTGTCCCCGGGTCCTGCGGATCCTTCGTGCTCTCCACGGTCTCGAGCTCAATAGGACTGTTCTCTTTCCACAGAGACGAGCACATGTCATTCATTCCTTCCTTCTGCGGTGATTGATATCCTTCAGTACTCAAACGTAGGCCACTGAAGCTCAAACACATACCAAGGGTGTATACATTTTGCGTTCAACTACCTCTCCAGGGGGAATCTTGCTTAGCCTGGCCGATACTCGGGCCTGATCATCAGGTGATATTCTCTGCGAGACGTCCTCTACCACTTCCGAAAAGTGACGCTGGAAGGTAAGGCGCATGAAATCCTTCATCGACACTGGGCCAACATGTAATCGTGATGCCTCAGTCCCGGCCTCTGTCTTCAACGTCGCCAGACCGACGTCTTGACTCTGGAAGTTTCGACCGGAGGCGAGCGGCCGGTTGGATGGGACAGAAACCGGTGTATTAAATTCGCAAACAGGAGGTTGTTTCCCAGTGGGAGTGCGCGGGCGTCCATCGTCGTTTTCAACGTCGGGGGCGGGTGAAGTGGCACCGGGATCGCGCGAAGGGGGCGACGCCGCGGCGGCGGGGAGGGCATCGTCGTCCAATAAAGGTGCGACCGGAGACGCGGGATAGGGTGTATCGGGAGGGGGAGTCGGCGCAGGTTCAGACATGGCCGTGGTAGCGATTGTCAGAAACAGAAGAGGATACTAGTAGAGGCCACAGTCACCCACCGAGCTTTTAAAGTCGCTGGAGTTGCAACTCCGCTGTTCATTGTCCATTATATTCTGTGCTTCTTTGTGGCTTGTGTATACACGTGTTGATGAAGGCCGTGGCCAGTCAGCTGAACGCCTGTTGTGGCGGAAAGGACATGCATATTTCTCACGTCCTCGCGTCCAAACGTGTCACGTGACAGTTGTCACACTACTACGCCGCAGTCACCAGCCTGAGTGTGGCTGGCGTGCAACTGAATGTCTTGCTTCGTCATGTACTTCCCATTACAGGGCTGGTAAGCAAGTGAAGCAATAACCACTGGTGTGGCAGTCTATATGAGCAGAACGGGCTCGCCAACTTCTGGGTGCTGTTTGCTGGGTTGTTGGCCGACTCCGTCTGAGTCTCCGGCTAGATTACGCTCCTGCGAGCCGTTCTTCGGCCACATCGCAAAGTCAACGAATCCCGGCGTAAATAAATTGGTTACATTACATACTGTAGTGGGCCCAATTGGCAGCATACGATACGCTGAAGCATGGGATCGGAAAGGTCATGTTTGAAACCGAGAGCAGAATAAGTATGTGGGACGCCTAGGCCACTCATACCCCCAAAGCAGGACCTGGCATGAAGCTCGTCAGGTTCGTAATGATAGAGCACGTTTAATTGAAGACATCAACTGGACTTCTAGTTGCATGCCACAACCGGGTCCCAACGATTTCATTGTGATTGTTCCACACGCGGTCTATGATTATGCATGCGCGTCCTTTCATTCCATATTCTGTTCCCTTTATGACTACATTTGAGACAGGCCGCGAATTACCCTTAATTCTGGATTAGCTCGTCCCTGGTCCAGAAGATCCATCTCGTCTCGCGAGCGTGCTCGGAAGTAAAAACTGGCGTGGACAGGTAGGTCCAGTGTCCGCCATACAAAGCACGGAATTCGAGTCCCGCAAGCCAGCACGACAATGAACCTGCTATCCCCTTCATTTTCTTGCGCTATATTCTCAAGGTCTTCGTATTCAAGAGGGTCACACTATGAAAATTTTACCGAACAGGACAAAAGGCGCGACGCAGCCAGTCTCCATCACGCAGAACCTGGAACCGGCACACGCGCCTTCCCTGTTCAATTCACACAGCCCCACTGATAAGGAGCGTATACACACCCAAGATCGCAATTGCCGCGGTGTCGGGCATGTACAGCGAGATTTATTGCGCCGCTGAGGAGGTTCGCCTGCAAGGGACGCGCGGGAAGGAAGAACACGAGGCCGTTCCTATTCACCGCCTCCAGCAACTTCGGTGCCCGTCTCACTTGTACGCCGGCCTGCACTTCCCCGGCATTCGTCCTTCCGCTTATACCCATGCTGGTGGTGGTCTCGACCTAGGCTTTCGGCGTCGACGTCGGACAGTAGACGGACTTGGAGAATGGTGACGGGAATAACACGAGTTCGAGCATGAGGTACCCGAAGAGGAACGTCCCATTGCAGAACGCGACCCACAGGCTATAGCGAAGGTTTACCTTGTACGTTTGATACGTCCTATATATCGGGGAGGGGAGTGGAAAGGGAGTGGAAAGAGAGACATATCAGCCTCCGCAAGACCCCACCGCGCACACTCCCACGAGTGCACCACACCATTGGGTACGAGATCAGCTCCGTCGCCGTCCGGTCGTCCTCCCGCCTCCCATTTACCATTCTTACCTTCCCGGGCCCTGTCACTGTCGAGCTAGCGGTGGTCACTATATTATTGTCCTTCCGCCGGTGCGCAAGTGCCTGCTGCTGCCGGTGGAAGTACTTCGGAGAGGGATCGTGCAGCGAAAGCAAGGAGACGGTCAAGACATACAGAAGAGCGAGACGATGCCTTCCTTGCTCGCCGACACGAGGATTGTCCGCGGGGCGAAGAGGACGTAGCTCTGCAAGGGGGTGCACCACAGCATCAGCTGGTTCGCTGCCACAATGCGTATCCGAAAATATGAATATTGGAGTGGTACTCACCAAGCGCACAAAGGACTGCCAGCAACAGCATGGACACAATTAACGGGACCTGCAGCACCTGCAGCACCGGGGGTAGCGCAAGGGTAATAAAGAAGTTCCAATGCACGCCATACTCCGTCACATGCTCCTACCCATAACCCGTCAGCCCACCGCGCCCATGCTTGGTGGATGCAAAGCGAAATTATACATTACTGGGTAGTCAGCGCCCTTCACCAATATGCCCCGCACGAGGCCCTGCCCGAGCCCAGGCGGGATCTTGCGCGCAACAGCGAAGACCTTTGGCAGCGTGCGCCGCGACAGGTGCTCGGGATCCTTGAGGAGCGGCGCGGCTGAGAAGACGCTCTGCGAGAAGGAGCCGACGCCGAGATCCATCAGCGGAAGGTCATTGGGATACATGTATATTAGAGAATAATGGAATGGTGGCTGGATTTAGCATGGGTATCGACAGCGGTCTCATCACAGGCTGCGTGGTGGTCCACGCGAGCAATGATAGCAGAGGAAGGTCCTTTCGCAGAGGAGGCTGTAGCCTCATTATCGGGAGTCATGATAGATACGTAGCATGAAAGCTCAGAAATGTGGCTCCTCGCTTACGCGGCTTGAACTTGTCACATTCCCGACCCGATCTTCTTCAGCCACATCATTGCTTACTAAGAGTTCGCTTCTTTGCCACAATCTACCGCTTACAACGTCCGAGTGGCTGTGGTCACGGTTGCAAAGTCAGCCATTGGTGATGGTTAACGGGCGCTTCGTTGAAAAAACAGTTACAGCCATTTAAATTTGCATATCGATAGAGCATCAACTCAGACACCCGAGTGACACCAAAAGCGAGATTCCTTAGACTTGGGACTACGCCCCAAGACGCGAGACCAAGGGGTCTTGAAAACCTTATTTTGCCACCCCACCTGAACGCCCCCCCTGGGTACCCCACCTCGTCCCCCTTGACTTCAACGCTCGAGCATCGGTCTACACACAGTACACGTCACCGCCTACACTAGTATAATAAGGCCGTCCGCTACTCTGCTCGACACCCCGTCCTCGCTGTCTTCCCCGTCGACCACCATGCCCTTGCCGCTTCCGGCCGCGGTCCGGGTAGAAGTCTGGTAGCAAACCCCAACCCTAGGGTGTACCGCCACGGGTCAGGTGACAACGCCAGCGTCGGCGCCCGGCGTGTTGTCGCCGCCCGCTTTAGGCCTGTCGTCGTCGTCGCCGACGATGAGCATGGCTGTAGCATTTGTATGTAGTCGTGGAAATATGGAATAAATCTCATTAAATACACAAAATTCGTTTGATGGATTTGACATGTATGCGCCGCCACTTACATGCTCCGATTGAGCATCATCGCCGTCAGGAATGTCGCGCTCACTGTGCTCAACGGTGGCGGCCGATCGCACCGTATAAAGCCTCGGAAAAAATACGATAAATTCCTAAATATTACTATTACATGTTGTCTCGTGTTAAATGCCCCTCTATGCATATACAATGTTCATATATGTGAATACTCACCTATGTCCAAGGGTATATGCTGCAAAATGCATGGTAGCAGCAGTGGGGAATGTTCTAAAGCGAAAGTATCAGCAAAGAATAGTTCTGGTAACACTTTACTGTCCATAAGACCCAAAAAACCGCTGTTGTTGCGATGCTGGTGGGTCTATTGCATAGGAACAACTGCACAGCAAGGAGAGTGCAATCAGACCCAAAGAGGAGCAGAGAAGGAAGAAACTTGAGAGGCCAAGGTAGATAAAGAATGCCGAACACATGTGCTCACATAACAGGGCCTGGACTGCCTGCATACGCATGACCACGGAAGAACTGAAGGGGCAATGTAGGATCTAAAAGCGAGAAATAAAAACAAACTCACATGAGGGATGCAATTCCATCCGGAGACCCAGTATCCATCGTATTCCGTCCGCTCTATGATATTCAAACGCGTGGAAGATGCCCGGCGGCATGAAGAGGCATACGCGGCCGGATGTCGAAGACGTACTCACCCGGTCGCAATGCAGGACAGGCCTATGCGGACGCCTAATCTACAGACAACTGCAATGTT